GCCACTGTATGTACATTTTGGGGGGGGGGGGGGTTGGGATCTTTCGAATAAGAAATGCCTATCAATTATTATATTTAATTGCTTAGTCTTTCCTAAAACTATTTAATTAAAACTTTGATGAAAACCATGATCGAAACATCTTTTGCTATGCATAGGGCATACAATTTGCTATATTAGCTCCATTGCTCATTCTCTTCATAAATGTTACGGTAGGTTACATAATTTTTGATACTCTTAGATTAGCTGTGCTGTCCTCAAAGTTTACCTATACAAGAAATACGACTATGCTTGTGCGGATAGTGCTAGCTTATTTTAAGACAACTATTTTAATTAGTGAAGTGATTTCATCGCTAATTAACATAAGATAATCATCTTAATTGACGAAGAAAACAAATATGAGTCGACTGAAAACGTATCCTAACGACGCCCTCGTCATTATCTTTGTCTTCATCGGTAGCATCGATGGTAATTACCGTTTCTTAATTAACGTTATTGTCTTTCTCAAGTGCTAACGTGTTTTAATTAGCCATTTCTGACGACATTTAACATTTTAATCCTGAGTTTAATTTGTTTTTGTTTTTTGTAATTAAATGAAAAATTAGTAGAGCTTATTTTTTAAAAGTAATTTCAATTAAAACTATTTGTTAAAAAATCTTATAAAATTAAATGTTTCCTTTAATTCTGTGTAAAACATAATCCTAAGCCTTGCACGATAGCTAAAACATGTTTGTTAAACTTTAAGCCAAAGATATTAATTAACATCTTGATTACTTTCGATAGTGCCTGTTAGAATTAGAGTTAGGGTTACGCAAGCTTAGGCATATTATCATTTTAAAATTGGGAGTTGTGGTTCTTTTTTTTTAACGCTTGCAAACATCTTATCCCTTACATCACTCCACAAATTCAGGCCCACACTTTTTAACCATCCCCCCCCCCATTTCACACCCAGACACACACACACTCACTCACTCACATGGACGACCATAGGGTAGACGACTAAACCACAGCCAAGTAATTTATTGAAATGATTGGCGAGATGAATCACGCTATTTCAGCCGATTTGTATATGCCTACCCAACAACCCCCCCCTCTCCCTCCTCCCCACCACCACCACACACCCACGCACACCTCTCTACTATCGACTTATCGCTACCCCCACACACCCTATTTTGAAGTTACAGTTTCGTCCAATACTCCCACCCCTTTAAAAAAAACACAAATCAAACGTAGATTCCTCATTTATGTATTGTTTAAACAAAACAAAAGCTACGCCCCAGCTGGTCACACCGCGTCACTAAAGTCCTAGCCACCCTCGTGCCTAAATGTGCAGTCAGTGATCTCAATTCATTATATCCGTATACTTAATCAAATCTTAACCTAGCCCAAAATACGACCACCTATCAGCGATGGCGACGTCATCAGATCTATTAATAGCATCGACACTACAGCCTTTTTGAGGGTGCAAAAAGACACTATTTGGAATAGAGAGATTCGGATGCCGAATCCTAAAACGGGAGAATCTTAAGCGGACTAGTATGATGCTTGGTGAAGTGTTATGTGCAATGATGAATGTATGTGTGTAGATATATTATGTGCAATGCTGAATGAATGTGTTGATGTGTTATGTGCCATATTAAATGTTTATGTGTAGATATGTTATGTGCAATGCTGAATGAATGTGTTGATGAGTTATGTGCGATGTTCTATGTATGTGTTTAGATGTGATGCTAAATGTAAGTGTGTTGTGTTATGTGGAATGTTGAATGTATGAATGTTGATGTGTTATGTGCAATTCTGAAAGAGCAATGTTGAATGTTACATGTACGATTGTTGATGTGACATATGCAATGCTGTATGTTTATGTGTTAGTAAGCGTACTCTGGTGAGAGCTACCACATAAACAGGAACATATAAACCACATAAACACAGCAAGGCCGTTTATACCAAGGTTTGCTAAATTTAGCCAGCCATTAATGGGGTTACACTTGGTGGTGTCAAGCTCTGTGTGAATACCGACATTTGACCGAGTCATGAGCAACCCCCCCCCCCCATGATGTCCCTCCAAAACAACACGCACCACCCCCAACCACAAAACACGCCCACCGCTACTGGCAAGAAACTCGACACGCCCACCTCTGCTTGTGACAAGCAAGACACGCCCGTAACTGGTACTCCGCAGCGAATACCACTTCCCGTCGGTTCATCTTGCAGAAATATTATTTTACTACCATTTAAAAACAAAGGACTATTAAGGAAAACTTAACGACTTTCTGTTAATTAGTACTGAAGACTCTCCTTTCATTTATAATAATTTAATTAACATTTGTTAATTACCCTAATAATTAGAGCGACAGTAAGGTAAGTAATACGATTGAATGTTTTAAAAAAAAAAAATTATTTCGAAAACAATTAAAAAAAAAATTGTTGACTAAATATTTGAACAAAAATTGTGTTTTTTTTTTTTAACAAAGTAGTTTTACAAAGAGAAATGTGGATAAACATTTTACAAATACAAATTAAATTAACACAAACAATGCGGGTTCATTCTTTCAAATTTAGAAACTTAAATGTATGTTGTAGGCCTAATTAGTTAACTTATTTTAATTAGAAGGGAGATTGACGTCACACCAATGTAAGGTGGTAAGGAGAAGTGTTGTATGTTGGCATGTGGTGTGTGGGTATGTGATGTGTGGAAGATGATATGTGGGATGTGATGTGTGGGTCGTGATGTGTGGGTATGTGGGTATGTGATGTGTGGGCATGTGATGAGTGGGATGTGATGTGTGGGTATGTGATGTGTGGAATGTGATGTGTGGGCATGTGTTGTGTTGTAGGTATGTGATGTGTGGGATGTGATGTGTGGGATGTGTGGGATGTGATGTGTGGGATGTGATGTGTGGAATGTGATGTGTAGGCATGCAATTTTCGGGCATGTGTGGGGACCTGTGGGGGCATGTGATGTGTGGGTGTGTGTGGGGGGGCAGTGATGAGTGTGCATGTGATTTTCAGGCGTGTGGTGTGGGGGCTTGTGTGGGAAATATCTACCCCAGTAAATCAATTTATTTTCTTCTGTTCCATTTGAAAGTTGGAAATCTCGATCTAACCTTATCGTGGAACTATCTGTTTCATACCTAACGTTAAACTCGACTTTAACCTGAGATAAATAAGCTACTTGAAAAGACTAAACAGCAATTTATAGAAATAAAACTTCATAGCAGTGCTGGTAGTACATGTTTTTTCTACAATGAAGTCTTGTAAAACTATTTATTTTTATTGTGTAAAAATCCTTTTAGTCTGTGATTCTTTTTTTATAGAATTCTCAAATTTAACTGAAGTCTGAATTAACTACCCTAAAAAAACTAAAATAATAAAAATAAAATAATAAAACTTTTTTTTCGCGATTTCTTTTAGAAAATAACATACATACGTAAAATCCATTTAAATCCAAAACTATATAATTCGGCCTGCCTACGGATTAATTGTGAAATGAATTTTTATGCAATTAAACTTTTGTTCGTTTTGTGCTTCTAAATAAGGTAATCCCATATAAAATAATCCCATGTTCATCGGAGAAAAAAATATTTTTTGAGCGAACACGACAGAATAATATTCTCGTGCGAAATTTTTCAATATGCTATCTGCTGTAGTGAATATGGGAGGCAAAGACAGCCACATCTGCTGCGCACTGTTCGTCTGCTGTTCGCCAACCAAAAGTCGATAGCAGAACTGGCCCGAGCCACGGGACACGAAAAGTGGGCCGAGCCAAGCGACGCAGCGCGCGCACAGTACACTCCAAGAGACGAGGCTTTTGATTGGTCGCCGGCTGACACAACACCATCTCATTCTCCAGCGCGTGATTTATTCCGGGCTGTTTGTGAGTTAGGAGCCTCACAAATCACAAGTTCTGGACCCAGGGTCATGCAGTGAGGATAGTGCTTCGATCATATATCCAGCGGTCATGAATTCCTACTTTGCGACCCCATTCTTGCCGCAATACCCACCAGAAAGCCATTATGTCTCGAATGGATATGGCTCCAGTACGGCACCTAACTATGGACTTTATTCTCCACGGTTTCCAGACCACATCCCTGGATACCAAACAACAAGTTCTGGATACGGCAGTGTTGTGTGTGGATCCGGCTCATCCGGTCATCCGTCCGGTGTGTCCAGTATATCGGAATCATGTGCGTCGCCGTACAGTTCCTACCATGTTCAGAAGTCGTCCAGTATTCTGCATACGTCACCGTATTCCGGCGTGAGCCCCGGGACCGGCCACCACGGGAACCTAGGGTCCCCGAATGATCTCACAGTGACCCCGGGGTACCCGATCACCCCGGCGCATTCCCACAGCTCGTCGATTCACCACACGTCACTTGGGCATGATAAGTATAATAACAACAACAACAACAAACTTTCATCGTCGTCGTCGTCGTCGTACGGACTACACCCGGGGGTTCACCACGGCGGGGGTACCACCACCGGTGGGGGGGTCAACCCCAACGTCAACGCCAACGCTGGACTCACGGGCGCGGATACGCCCCCACTGATCACCGCTCACACTCAGCACCACCACTCGCTCAACCACCACAACCCACACCACAGCACGCACCACCACACACCGCAGCCACACACCCACACACCCACCAGCGCCAACAGCACGAACAGCTCAAACAGCCTGCATCACAGCACACAAAACAGCACAGTCAACAGCACGCCCAACACCGCCAACAGCTCAGCCCAACGCCATCCAAACAACTTTCTCAACGGGTACGGCTCCAACCTCGAGTGGCCCACCCACACCCACATATCCACACCGTCCCCCACACGGAGCCAACACAGCCCCTTCGGGAGCCCGGGGGAGCCCAATGCTCTCAGCTCGTGCTCTCTGAGCCCTAAGGCAGGGAGCGACGATTTAAGTACTCAAACACAACAAGCGAATGGATCATCCAATTCATCACCAGAACAGCCCGCCCCCTTCTATCCTTGGATGGGAATTGTCGGTAAGTTATACGCTTTATAAACAAACAAAACCACTGACAATATTACCCCATATAAAGAATGCTTTTCAAATACATCAACATATAGATCTAGATCTAGTTCTAATTATATTTACCAGTACTTAATAAAACTTTGTCTAAAAAATAAATGTCAAAATTTACATAAATCTACACACTGCGCACACGTGTATACCGCTAAGAGACAATTTGCTAGAAGTGTATAGGTGTGTTACACATCACAGAACACAGGCCTTACACACCTTACACACCTCGGCCAAATTTAAACCACCTGTCCCGTCCCTCCCTGTAAAGATGTTGTCCCACAACCCGACTAGTTATTTTTTCCCTGCTCGGCGACACATTTCGCAATTAATTAAACCGTGCCTGATTAAAGTTTTCACGCTTTCCTTAATTAATGGGTTTATGCCGTTTATGGAATGTTTTAGTTTCTAGTACAGTGAGGTTGGGTTGTGAACTAGGTTGTTGTTGTTGTTGCGGTGGTTGGGTTGTGAACTAGGTTGCTGATATTGTTGCGACAACAAGGGATTCGCTGTTGAAGTTTTCTAGACTTAAAATTTGATTTCTGGTATATATCGTTATCTAGCTATAATATGAGTTTATATATTTTTAATTATCGTGAAAAGAATAAACATCCAAAACTGTATGACAATCCCCTTTACGGTGTGTAGAACATTCAGTATAAGCACATGTGTAAAGATACACATGTAGCACATCAGAGTTAGGCATCTACCATTTGACATACTGATTTATCATTCAAACAAATCAGGCGCATCAATTTCTTATCATACAACACATCTGGAAGTATAAGTAACCATATTATCCTAAAAAATTTGAGACTACAATATACGAAATTTAATAACACCAAAAACATCTAAATTTCTTTAATAATATTAATATTACAAATTGTAATATAATGATACATATGAATCAAGAATTTAGAATATTATCAAAACACAATTGAACGTACATTTTACAAAATAACTACTCAACTGAAATTATAATTTAGAATATAAACACATAATAAAACATATAACACAACAGATTATAATATAATCATGACAAGTCTAAAACTGGAATTTAGTTGATTATTATAACACATCTGTAAGTTCATTTTACAAAATTAACACATGAAACATGACCAACAAATTATAATATAATCTGCATTCGTCTTAAACTAGAATTTAGAATATTATCAAAACATATCTGAAACCACTATTATCAAAACATACGTATAACCAGATTTATCAAAACATATCTGAAACCACTATTATCAAAATATATCTATAACCAATATTATCAAAACATCTGAAAACACTATTTTCAAATGTATGCCATCACATCCGAAACTACAGTTGAATATTATCGTAAAAACATTTGCAGCTAAAATTCAAAATAGTAAGACAAAACAAATCAGAAACTACAATCTACAAATTTATACTCAGCTGTTGCTAAACATTTTTTAAAAAATCATTTTTAAATGACTTTCTCATTTAAAAAACTACAAAAAATAAATCATGAAAATAATGGTCATTAAACTTGGCAAGTAAATTTAATTTCTAAAATACTTTAAACTGTGCCGTGATAATGCTTACTAAAACATTTGGTAGTGAAACACAAAAAGTTTCCTCATTAGAGTTTTAAAACAGAGCAGTTCATGTTGTTTGGTAATGTAAATTTAACAGTTAATGTTATAACAAATTGGGAATAATTAAAATAATTATCTCTTAATGTGCTGTGTCGATACAAAAGAAGATATTTCCCACAATTCCAAATGTTTTGATTACAAGATGCACATTTTAGTCAGACAAGCTTGATTTGTATCATGAGCAGCTAATCTATATCTTCCACTTCCAAACATATGTAGACTACATAGTCCACTACCATATGTGTGTGGCTTATATTTTCTTTCAATCATCTATATGTGATCTATGTTACATCTTATATATCCCAACATATATATGAGGCCCATATATTCTTTCATCTTTTTGAGATTTATTTATCCCTTCATCTATATGTGATATAATTTTTCCGATAAAAATTCTCACCATTTCCGTGTAGTCTATATGTTACATCTTCTACATATATACAATATGTTGTTGGTCTACTGTAATCACAAACACATAACGTCGGGACAGAGATTTTTGTTTCCATTGTTCTTTCTATGACTTGTTTCTAATCGGATTTTTTAAAAATGCCGGGTGGTTCAAGATTTAAACAATCCAGATTATAGTTTTTAAATTATTAATCATAATTACACCCCAATACCTCATCAGCCGTTAAGTCTAAATTAGAACTCGATATATGATCAATCGATTTGGTGTTTGTAATCACAATTTTAAAATATTAATGATTAAAAGCTAAAAAATAGATGACTCTGAATTGTTTTAACATAAGGGAGGTAAACAGCTATGGTATTAGTTATTGCACAGAAAACAGCACTTTTGTTACATAATTTTCAAAATTTGCAAAAACTTTTGATACAAAGTAGAACAAAAATAATTTAGTACAATTCTTATTTTGAAAATCATATACTTGTTTTAAACTATTATTAGTTTGATAATCAATGTTCAATTTATGCATTTTTATTATCAAAACTTGATAATTATACCATTTGTATTTAAATAGCTTAAACCAGTCACAATTGTTACTGCAATTCACGGGTACACTTGGTTAATTTTAGAACTCCAACTGCGAACGGTTTTAATTAGTGATGAACGTATAGGCCTTTAACTAACCATATGGATATGCTTATGTACACTCATATATAATATATATATATATATATATATATATATATATATATATATATATATATATATATATATATATATATATATATATATATATAAACTGATATGAATCAGGTGATTAGTTTATTATAGTTTGCTGTTTCTCAAACGTCTGTCTAGTATTGTAGGTGGCTAGTACTACTTTTAACAGCAGTTAGTACATTACTCTCACTTTTATAAATGTCCGTGCTTAAAGTGCTACGTCACACCTAACTTAACATATACGCCATCTTTACTCACACACACACGCACACACGCACACACACACACACGCACACACTGGCATTGGGGGGCCACTGTTTCGACACGCACCGTGTGCTAATCAATACAGCCAACACGCGTCTAATCAATTATTTGCTACTGTGTCGCAGTCGTCATAGTGATGACGGGGCCTCAATCATTTAGCCCAGCTTTCGGCCCGGGGTGAAAGTTCGCTGCATGTTAATTAACCATTTCCAATTACGGTCCCTCTCTCAATAAATGAAACGATTAAAAGTGTTTTTGAAATTGTCGTTTATTTTGCTCTCAGTGTAAAAGAATTTCTGTCAATTTTATTTTTTCTTCTAAGAGCTGAAGTGTGAGCAATGGAGGTGCTAGGACTAAGACATTATATATATATATATATATTTATATATATATATATATATATATATATATATATATATATATATATATATATATATATATATATATATATATATATTCTAGTTAAAAGTTTCCATTATTTTTAGGCACGGTCGTTTTAAATAAATAATTGCATTCGTTTCTTTAATTAGAATAATTAACCCTGTAATATCGAAATCAATATATAAATATTCATCTAATTTATTTTCAACTTTTTACGACTTTTAACAAATGTACATAGAGATATCTGTATGTATGTTTGTAGTTTGCGTTTGTGTAGTTTTGAAAAGTCTAAATACTGTCTTATGGGTTTGTCTAGTGGCGAAAAGTCTAAATACTGTCTTGTTACGGGTTTGTCTTGTAGCCAATGTCTTGTTATAGAGTGGTTAGTGATGAGATATATCATAATTGAGTAGCCCCTTGTCTTAGTGCTTTTTTGTAATCTCTGTGGCCGTGATCCCACCAAACGTTCTAAAGAACTGGGTTCGGTTCTCTCTTACCCTAGCTTGATTTTCTTAAGTTGGTGTGCTTTAGTTAAAGGTAACAACATTTGGTAGAACCTATGCGACTGTCATGTTGTGTTTAGATTCAACGGTGCGTTATTCGTTAGACTAGCACTTAGTTTAAAGTTAGTTTTGCTGTCTAGCACTAACATTAACATGATTTACATATGTTGGTATGCTTTAGTTAAAGGGACAATATGTGGTTGAACCTATACCATTGTACATGTTGTGTTTAAATTAAACGACATGTTATTTGTTAGAATAGCTCTTCAGTCGATTAAAAGTCAGTTTTTTTGTCTAACACAGTAAATTGTCTTAACGCATGTGTATGTCAAACTAGCAACCGTATGTGGGTTCAACGTATCACCTGTGTTATAGCCTTTCATATATATGTTGGTTAAACTATCTAACACAGAAAATTGTCTTAACGCAATTGTTTGTCAACCTAGAACCCTTATATGTGTTAAAAATAGCACCTGTGTTATAGCCAAAAATTTATATGTTGGTTAAACGTATTACTTGTGTTAAAGCCTTAAAGATATGTGTTGGTTAAACGTATCACATGTGTTATAGCCATACACAAACATGTAGGTTAAACGTACCATTTGTCGTGTAAGCTAACATAAACATCTCACCTGTGTTGCACGGCATAACACACCTGCGCCGAGGTAAAGACATCTGTCCTGTGTGTATTAGTGACGTGTCGTGACATACATTTAGAAATCGTGTCGGACCGTGTCAGATGTAGGACACACTCGAGTGAAATCACAACCATGGTGTGTTGGTATGTGTGTCGGGTCCAGATGATAATGTTAATACACACATTATGTGTGTTGGAAGTAATGCTTTACATACATAACGAGTTGAAAGTAACGGGTGACAAAATAATAGTATTTAAAGACACTGTTGACAAAGAATGTGTTTTAAAAATAATGTCTTAAACATAAATCAAGTGGAAAGTATGGCTGTAACGTGTGTTGAAATATATTTTAAACGCTAACGTGTGTAGTTTCACAGTTTATACGGTACGGTCGTACAAAAGCAATATGTTCAAACATATGTGTAA